CAAATAACTTGTCGAGAAATTCCCATATCGCTTTAGTTGTAGTAAAACATTCAATTTCATATCTCAGGGGGGGGGGGGGTTTGGATAGCTTCAATCAATCTTGCAAGTTGACTTCCTTCATTTTCATAATTTCTCTTCATAGTGTCCTCGAAAATTCTTTTCCATGTTCGATAATTTTTAATGTTTCCAGAAAATTGTGGTACCTTTATTCTCTCCAGATTAGACCTCTGTTGTTTGGGTTCCATTTCAGTCGGTAGTCCCTTTGATGTTTGATCTACTTCACATTTTCGTCGATATTGTTCTAACTTTGAGAGTAAATCGCCATATTTTGCAATGATTTCCGTAATAAAAATATCATGGTTTGTAAAATCGGCTTCCTCAATGTCAGCTTCTACCATTAAGTCAGTAATTCCATTATGTATTTCTCTTACAGCTTTATATTTTACCTTGACTTCGCCAAAAGCCTCTTCAAGACTATGTATTTCCGGGCGAGCTTCTAGCACAAATTCGAAGCTTTTTACTTCGTCGTCGAACATTTTCTTCGCCAAACTCCTCTTCCGATTTAACTCTTCAATTTTAACCATCGTTGATGCGATCTTTAACACTCGATGTCTTTGTTTTCTAGCGTGTCACTACTCGAACGCGTTCGGAATTGTTATTGATCTGGCATATTTCGCCCAAAATAACTTCCCATTTCGCTCTATTAATCAAACGATTTTGACTGTTGTGAACTCTTCGCAACACAAAGACACGGACAATGTTCTAAGGTTTATTTCGTACAAGTTTTAATACATTTTTATCGTATTATTTGGCTGTCAAAATAGTTGTTGTTCCCTTTTGTCCTCGACTTTCGATCGTATGATTAAAACAACAACACGTGACCAAAATTAACCTAATTAAATATTAAATAATTAGCATGCATTATGCAGTTCTATTAAAGTGTCAAAACAGACTGTACTTTCTGAACTCCACCGGTACTGAACATTGCATTTTTAAATTATTAATAATACCAGTTTTTTGTATACATGCATTAGTTCCTCTTTTACCTATAGGAAGACATGCATGTCGTATAGCCTATTGTCGATTTTTTCGTGTTTTACTAGTTAGGAAATCTTGCATGTTGTTATAGCAAGTCAAATGATTTAATAAACTCTGTTAAGAGAAGAAACGGAGAAACAAAATTTTCAGCCAAAAATTAGAACACATATTAATACCTTCATCCTTTGTCACCTTCGTGGTGGCATCTGGTAATAATAGCGTCTTTTCATTGGCGTCTTTATCCATAGAGATATGGCCACTGTTCTCAACTACTTCCACTTTATTATCAGGATTATTCGACGCTTTTAATATTTCCATTATAGTTGCAAGCAAACATATTCCAACTAACAGTCCACAAAATATGCTAAACAAAACCGAATTCAAAATGTTGAAAAGATTTAAACATTTGGATTTACATTTTATATACTATACTGAGCTGATCACTCTTTGAGTTCTGTGTCACGTATTTTCTGTTTTGGAGAATGTGATTAAACTAAGTCTTACATTGTGATAACAACTGTTGCTGTATATTCAGGATCCTCAGCACATTTGACTTGTAAAAATTTCGTAAATGGCGTAACTCGATCGATACCTGAAACTAAATATTGAGAGTCATTTCTCAATGTTGAACATACATCGGCATGATTGGAACTAAACACGTACAAATATATTCGAGTGTATAGATGTATACTTTTAGTAGCAAATTTTAATTAAAAAATCCCATCTACTAATTACAACCAATTTATATTCAATTCTACTAAAATGATGTTTTCAAAATATTGATATTTCCAGATATATTCCTAAATTGTTAGTACATAAATATTTCATGGACCCAAAGCAACTTTCATATATCATGCAATAAGACAAGGATGTATATTCATGCTCACCATTTTTGAACAGAAATTCGAAGTTTTTTCTGACATCTTCATTGGTGCAAACATCTGGCATACACACACCCCACTCCATGTTATAGGTCTAAAAAGTTTATTTTTGTGGTGTCCTTTACTTTAAACTATTCTTTAATTAATGAAGACTAGTGCAGTTTCGTTCATTGACCAAGAGAGAATAGGGGTGACTCACAGTCAGTTGCTTGTAGGATTAAAAATTGAATAGCGAATTACATATATGCACAATTAAGGTTTTGTTCGTTGAAAGAAACAATTAAAATACTATAGCACGAGGTTTCTGTGCCCAGTAGCGTAGCCAGCTCGACGATTTGGTCTTGCGTGCTATGCAAATATTTTCGTGTTCATTGACTAGTACTGTGAGAACAATCAATTTGTAAGGAAATGAATAATGATAATAATAACATTTTGAATTTGCATAGCGGGACTAAATTGTTGGACTGGTTACGCCACTGTCTGTTCCACCAGAGGCAGCCCTGAAATACGTGCAGAAAGCACCAAATGCATGTCTATTTATAACATTGCTTTTCCTTGAGTGCTTGTGGCGCTGGACAAATGTCAGAGGAATTGGGCGAGTTTATTTATTTATTTTTTGGGCTTCCTATACAGGGTGAGTAAAAAAACTGACACCTTTGTTGTTCAAATTAGCCGCGAAGGTATCAGGGTTTTTTTACTCATCCTGTATAATTGGGTATTTGTGTAAATTTTAAAAAATTGAAAAATCATTGATGATTTAATGATTCATTCAAAACGTCTCCATGCAGACACACATGCCTTTGTATACCCGGAAAAAAGAATTAATTAAAATCATAAAGGATCAACTAAAAGATTATTACCACATTCTGTAAAGTTTATTCTTTTCTCCATTTGTTTAATTAAGTATGGTTGTGTGTAATTTGCATCAATTTGAGTATAATTAAATTATTGTCAAAAGTGGGCAATGTTAATGTTAAAAAAATTAAAATGCTGTTCAAATATTTTCCAATAATAATGGTTGTTGTATAAAACATTTTATCGGATTTAACTTTCAAACAAATAAGTTAACTCCAAAATTGAACGTGTTATAAACATGTCTTTCCATTTTCCTATTGTAGCTCCTATAAATCTCACATCTTCTTATAAACCTTTCCAAGCAAGCATTGCATGTGCGCATGCATGTCCATTATTTCTTGCCATGAGTAACGTTGGGCATTTTTATACTTATTCATTCTTATACCTGGCTGTTATTCCGGACCAAGGACATACTTCCAGGAAACATTGTCAAACAGTAGCGAGAGTCGGGTAGTTGCTGACATTCACTGTATGATCCATACCATAAAGTGTTGCCACCGTAAATGCCGCTGCTTGGTTTCCCACTGGCGTCAGCAACTGTTGAATGAAGAAATGACGACCATGAGTGTACTTGGGACATAGGCAATTCAATTTCAAATTACAATCAGATGTTATGAAGGAATGCAAGTTGCTTTTGCGGTCTGCAAGGTAATTATAGAAGCGGGTTCCACTTTCTCCGCATCTCGAAAGACAATTTGACATTGCGACTTAATTTGCCACCTTAATTAAGGGGAGTTCAATCTTGGCCTATCGAGGGGAAGATGGCTATGATACTCATTAGAATAACTTATAATATTACTCATTATCTATGTTAGTCAACGTTTATTCATAAATTTGGTCCTTCACCTTCACCTTCACGTGCGTATTGTATTTTTGCCAAATCCACCAATTTACAATTTCTAGTACGAGTCACGGATAGGTAACTTTTCTAAAACATTGCTATTGGTTAGTTGGGTAAAAATACAACACGCACGTGACGGTGAAGGACCAGATATATGAATAAACGTTGACTAACATAGATAATGAGTTATATTGTTATTCTAATGAGTTTCACGGCCATTTTCCCTTCGATAGGCTACATATGTTTCAATTTAGGTTGTTTTAGTTTCGCGGTTTAGTTTAATACTTTAGTACTATTTAAAGCTCGCGTAGGAGTGTTTTATAAACACGACTATACAAGTGCTTTAAATGGCTTAAAAAACGACTCATCATATATGAGTCCATTTTAAAATAAACTTTGTTTAAACCGAGAAAATCAAAGCTAAAGTTTATGTAAATGAACATGATTTTTTATCACATGTAACGATACGACACGCTTATGATTTTTCTTTGTGTTTTCCTCCTGAATTATCAATGAGATTTTTAAGTACAGTAACTATTTAAAACATTACTGCATTACTGTCACGTATACAGTAAACATTACAAAAGCATTGACAGATTTACATTGCAGTTGAAAAAGGTTTCGGAGGGTAAGAGAGTTTGTTATTCACGATTAATGCTCGAGAGATTTTCTCTCTGCAGACTATCTGTATCTGCCTTATTTGGAGCTGATCTGGTTATTAGAGACCTTAAGATTGACGTTTACGGCAAACGTCAAACCGCTAGCGCGGTTTTTGATTTTACAACTCTATTATTATTCCTTTTACACCAGTTTTGAAATATGTTAAACTTATTAAACTTGTGCTCTTTAGCAATGATTTAAGAAAGCAAATTAACCACTAGTCATGCCATTCACCAAAGCAATAAATTAAGATTTGGCGTTTGAAGTTGACGTTTGGCGTATAAATTTCATGCTTTAACGACTACAAGCCCTCGTAGCAGTTCCAACATGAAATTTATACGCCAAACGTCAACTTCAAACGCCAAATCTTAATTTATTGCTTTGGTGAATGGCATGACTAGTGGTTAATTTGCTTTCTTAAATCATTGCTAAAGAGCACAAGTTTAATAAGTTTAACATATTTCAAAACTGGTGTAAAAGCTATAATAATAGAGTTGTAAAATCAAAAACTTCGCTAGCGGTTTGACGTTTGCCGTAAACGTCAATCTTAAGGTCTCTAATATAATCTCACGGTCCTCAACACTGTTGGCCAAATAGTTCACTTTAAATTCAGTTAAGTTGGTTTCCAGGCCACAACCCTTAGTAAAGATACGTACTTATATCTCATTTGTGTCGGTTGTCTTTGATCGTCCGAGGTTTATAACTAGCTAATATACCTTGAATAAATAATTGCATCAAACTTTTCGACAAAACGCGAAATTTTTCATCAAAAATTTTTGAAAATGACAAAATATGTTAGAAAACCTCCACAAATGAGATATAAGTTAGTTATAAACCTCGAAAGTCGGTTTAATTATAACTGATATATTGCCCTCGGACGCTGCGCGTCCTCGGGGCCTGCGCGTCCTCGGGGGCAATATATCAGTTATAAAGTTATAAACCTCCTCCTCGGTTTATAACTCTAACTTACATCTTGCCAATTCCTGAAGCGTGAGATTTCCATAGATGTGTTGACAGGTTTTCAAACTTGTATTGTTAAGAGCTGTATTATAATGGATATCGTGTAATATTCGCCCATTTGCAGGATAACACCAGAACACAACATTCAATAAGATGAGAAACGTTCGCTGTATTGATGGTGTTAACGTTAAAGAGAATGTTTGTGCCATTTCTTTTCGTGATCGCATTTGATCGGATTTTGTAACCCGATACGATCGCGATGAATTTCAAGATAATAGTGGCACTGTATAATTTAGAAATTTGCATGTCATTGAATGCTTGGAGGTCAAGCAGAACGCGAAGAAAGACAGTGTTTGTACATGGTGTGTATACGGTTATTTCAATTAAGGTTGTCCACGAGCAAAGCGGAAAAGTCAAATACGAGCGCGAAAGGCTGCTGGGAATCGCTAACAAATTAATTAATTTTCAAAGCGGTTCCCAGCAGCCTTTCGCGCTCGTATTCGACTTTTCCGCTTTGCTCGTGGACAACCTTAATTGAAATAGCTGTATAAGTACTAGCGATAGATGAACCAGACGGGAATCGTAATCTTAAGATAAATATTAATGCCCAGCATAAAATACGTAAAAGAGCCATAACAAAAATATAGTTTAAAATATTTATTAGAAAGCTAACGTTTCGTCTTTAACTTAAGACATCTTCAGAGCAATGACATACAAAGCGGAAAACACAGAAATATGAATAAATTATAACTATTTACAAGATATTATATTACAAAAGTAGAAAGAGGAATGGTCAGAGTAGAAGTAGAGGGACCAAACTGCCTTGTAAGTTGAGAGAGGGTTTGAGTTTGTTAATGAGAACACTTTCTCCAATGAGGAGTTCGTCTGGAGACGAGCAACAAGAAATAATCTTAAAATCATTAAGAGAGGCGGAGTGACCAGTGCTATCAAGATGGGAAAATTAAGGATACTAGACATGGTCGGATTGCTGCTTTTACTGCCTGTTAGAGGAGAAACACCCAAGTGTTCAGATACTCGTTTTCCTTGATCTATCTAAGGCTTTTGACACAGTTAACCATGAAATTCTTCTAAAAAAACTAGAACATTATGGTAAAGAGGAAATTGCTTAAAATGGTTTGAAAACTACTTCTACATGAAAGAACGCAAATTCTTAGCCGCAGGTTCCGTGATCATACAGGAAGTCAAGTAAAATGACCATATCTTCAGGGGTTCCGCAAGGCTCGATTCTTGGGCCTCCACTTTTTCTAGCTGTTGTATACTAACGACATTGAGAACTGTAGTGAAATAATTTATTTTGTTATGTATCCTGATGACACTAACGCGTTTTACTCTGACAAATGCCTCAAATCTTTAATGCATGCTGTGCAAAAAGAATGAATGAAGTGACTAAATGGCTAAACGCCAATAAATTATCAATATAAAATACTAAAAAAACTAAATACGTCATTTTTTAATCAAAAAATAAAAAGGTGACACTGATATTTATATCAACTTGATCCTACCAGGCCAGTTTTTGAGTAAGGAATTAATGAGAACAGCAAGCAGTAATGGACCCAACTTCGTACCTTGTGTTAAGCCACCATTTGTTTTCTTCCAGGTGGACATAGAAGTTCCCACCCGGACACATTGTTCACGATCGCAGAGGAAGGCTAGCTTTAATCCACCGAATTATAGAGGGATGGTTGTTTGTTATAGGTCTGTTGGGCGTCGACAAGGTAATTATTTGGTACTTTTAGGTCCTCCTGGTTTTCGTCGAGAGTTAGAGAGTCAAAATGTGATGTAAGGGCAGTAAGAAAGTTATTAAAATTTTCGGTCAATTCTTCACAGTTCCGAACATCATCAGAACATAACTGAGATTACATAATTGAGTCGGTTTTCTTTGAAGTTCCGCGGGCTGTATTTAACATAGATATCGGTCATTAGGCCAACCGTCTAAAAGCACGGGAATGGTGTTGATATTCAGCAGAGAAGAGCGGGGCTGATGAATTGAATTGAATAGATAATTATGAATAAGTGGGCTGTATTCAGATACAGCCTGGAAATATTGGGCTGTATCTGAATACAGCCAGCTGCTATTGTACCTGGATACAGGCCATGAATTGATAATCCATTGAACTTACACTACGACCACTTCGATTAACATTTTCTGATACTATTTCACACAGAAGTATTCAAAAAAAATATTTCAAACTTCAAGCTATCACCTTCGCTCTTGTTAAGTTCGCTAATTACTAATTCCTCTTCAGCTTTTCCACAGACTTCCCAACACTCGCTACTAGTTGTACTGGTTGTCGCCAATAGGCTTCTACAGATTATGCTACGAAAATGCTGAAATTGTGCACTAAAAATGCTCAAAAGTTGCTCAAAAGTTGCTTGAAAATTGAATAAGTTGCTCAAAAGTTGCTCGAAAATTGAAAAAGTTGCTCAAAAGTTGCTCAAAAATTGAAAAAAAGTTGCCCCTAAAATGTCAAAAGTTTCTCGTAAACGAGTGGGTGCAAAGCAAGATATGACCGTATATTAAACACTGTAGATTAATACAATAATAACAGTTCATAACTAACTATAGTTCTATATAACTATAAAGTCTTATAACAACTTAATGGCTAAAAAGCTATAAAATCAGTTAAGATTTATAATAGAATAACATACTGCAGCTATGAATAATCTCAAGACTCTATTTCTCAAATATATGTATTTATAATGAACTTTGAACTTTCGTGACACTTTCAAACTGCACCATTGTTGGGTTTGATAAACAGTCATAAACTGAGCTTGCAAACTGGTCTGAGCCGCCAGCAATTAGCAAATTAATGTAACTTGCAGTTATGGGGGTTGTTATGGGGGTTGTTATGGATGTTTGCAAATATGTCAAGCTGCTGTAGCCTGTAGAAGTAATGGTAAGCTAAAAAGTTTGTCAAATGGCCAACGATAAGGAAAATATTTTCGAGCCTAGTTGTCGTACTATTCTAGATCTTTCATAATTAATTATGACCAAGAAAAAGAACTTGAAGAGAATATGGATCAAGGGATTCAAGGTTATCAAGCATTTCATTATCTTTCTATAAATAAAATTAGCAACATGGTCTATATGGCCAGAAATTTCCAAAAATTATGCATTTCCTGGAGGAAGTTGCTTGAAGTTGCTGATATCATAAAAATTGCTCCAAATGCAAAAAGTTGCCAAAATGTTGCCGAGCATAAGCCTAGTCGCCAAAGACGTGTGCATCATGGAATCCGATACTGCATGCTGTAACGCCTTACGTCTCTATGACCTGTTTTTTCCATAATCAACTTATCTGGAATTCCCTTTACGAGACCACGAGTTGCCATTGTTGGTCTAAGGGACCGGTCATAAAGTAAAAGGGGGCGGTGGGCTGGGAAAATCATATATTTGGTGTCTGCACTTTTGGTAGCCCACCCCTTAATAGCTGCACGAAAATTTGTAGCCCACCCTTAAATTGGTGCTGAAAAATTATGACCCACCCCTTTTCCAATTTTTCCGGAAAAACTTTTTTTTGGACAATAACCTCCCGTTGACAACTTTTTTAGGTAAAAAAATTTTCCGGACGAGTACGTTGCAATTGCTTTCCAAGGACTTTATCTTAATTTTTCATACCAAATTTCGGATAGATATCTTGTTCTTTGCGCGGAAATTTTTAACCCAAAAAAATGACTGGGGCCCAATCTTCTGCATATTTTTTTACATGGCCCACCCTTATGATTTCGCTTAACTTTCGATGATCCACCCTTAATTCAACCGTGCTCAAAAATAGTGACCCACCCCTCTATTTTTCCCAGACCACCCCCCTTTTACTTTATGACCGGACCCCTAAGACTGTGATTTGTAAAGTTGCCTTCTATTCCAGCATCCTGACAAAGCTTCTTAACTACTCCTCCAAGTGCGTTGTAACCCACTGGATTAAGTGGATTTGAAGTAAACCAAACTAAAACACAGAAAATTCATCTGAAGCTAAAAATGGAAATTAACTACAATAAATAATAAATGATTAACTGAATCAGAATGCTTTCGGCGAGGACTCAAATAAAATATGTCTTTCGCTATGGCTTCTGAGCTGAATTTCCCCCCAATCGAATCAAACATCGACTGGGACACTCTTCATTTATATGATGTTCCACATGCTTTCCCTTCATATTGCGATGCTTTAATCATCCTTTAATTAAGCCTTCGAACCTCGGCTGTTAATCCTGACAGTGAAAAGTCTTCCTCTTCACTATCCATTTTGTGAAGTGCGAATGCAAACAATTCGTCAAAGTGAGGCCAGAAAATTTTACAAAAACATGTAGAACAAAATAAGAATAAATTAACTAGCGTATAACTTAAAGCTCCTTTGGGACCTTCATCTCTTTTTGTACCTATTTGTTCTCTCATTTAGCTCAACAATAAGTCCGCATACCTCCCAGTATTTTGTTCACAAATTACACTGAACAACAACAATTTCTATAGAAATTAAATATAAATTATTCTTTTGAGAAAACCTCCTCAATTATGAAATAAGTCAGTTAAAGCCCAAGTACCGAGGCTGTTAGCCTGGCTAACAGCCTCGGTACTCGGGCTTTAACTCTGACATACCAAGAATTTTTTGACGAAAGACCACCAATGGCTTTCACCTCTTAACACCATCTTGCTGGGTTAGAATTTTTCAATTTCTCGATTGATCTTATATAGTAGATCTTTCGTGCAACTTAAATGCATGATTGAACTCTGTTACGCCAATATTTATGAATAGAGAGGTTAAGATACCGCGGTGATATACACGTACCCGTACCCGTAAACCGGGGAACGACTTGTAACTTAAGAAATCCAAGATATTCTAGCGTGAGTTAACCCATCAGAGAATGGCAACTTTCGCTGTTGAGGTTCGCCATAGATTGTTGAAAACTTTGACAAGCATAAGTGATTATTTATTTGGGTAAGATGCTGAAAATGTTTACTATTTCAACGACCCACAAATAGTAAACATAAAACACCCGTACCCGTTTGTCTTTTACGTGTGGACCATGGTTTACCGCGGGGAAACGGGTAGAAATTACGGGTAAAAATGCTGACATCAGCAAAAATTGGTAAACAAAATGGCGATACTCGTACCCGTAGACCGGAACTGGGGTATCTTATTAACCTCTCTAATATCTGAATTTTTCCCGCTTTCGTGAAAGGCTTTTTGCCATC